ACCATATCGTGAAAAAAAAAATTCGAGAACATTATCTCGTGAATTCACCCGTGTGTGTGTGTATATACTTTTTAGTTCCAAAAAATCTGTTCAAACATACGAAGCCTAACACACGTGCGAATGATGTTGGATTTGTTGAAAAGGAGGAAGCTGGATGAGTCAGGCTGGTTAACTACTTCAAGCACTCTTTTTGAGTCCCTTTCTTAAGCAGTTGTGTACAAACACACCCCTTATAGCTATTTTTGCTGTTTCCAAGTTTTAATCTTTGCCTTAACTTCACTTTTCCACTTCTTTAACTGTTTCATATTATGCGCGCACGAAGATAACCTAGCGTTGTAACACTTGTGTGACTTACGGCATTTGTCAGATGATGAAATGGAGGCATAAAAGAGTGTTTTATATGCACCAGACAATATGAATAGTCTCCGTTGTCAATCTTCTTCTTCACTTGGTTCCTCTATGGGGATGGTTTACCCAGACATGCGTTGTCTTTCTCTTGGTTCAATTTCCTCGCAGGAAAAGGAAAGAGCTTTGGGTTTTCATTTCATTGAGGAAAACCACAGCTCTGATGTTGTGGAGGGTAAGTGCTTAAATGAAGAGAATGCCGTGGGTGGCAAGGAATCAGACAGTGGGCAGTCAAGGCTTTGTGCCAGAGGCCATTGGAGGCCTGCTGAAGATACTAAGCTCAAGGAACTTGTTGCTCTTTATGGTCCTCAGAACTGGAACCTTATAGCTGAGAAGTTGGAAGGGAGATCAGGTAAAATAATGGCACAAAAATGTGTTGTTTTATTCTTTGTTTTAACCAAAGGCTCATTTGTTCTGATTCTTGTCTCTTGGGGTTTGAAGGTAAGAGTTGCAGGCTGAGATGGTTTAACCAGTTGGACCCTAGGATCAATAGAAGAGCTTTTACAGAAGAAGAAGAGGAGAGGCTAATGCAAGCTCATAGACTTTACGGTAACAAATGGGCAATGATTGCTAGGCTGTTCCCTGGAAGAACTGATAATACAGTGAAGAACCATTGGCATGTGATTATGGCCAGGAAGTATAGAGCACAATCGAGTGCCTACAGGAGGCGGAGGCTGAGTCAATCTGTTTATAGGAAGATTGAAGAAACTCCTGGCTTTGTCTTCAGAGATGCAGCAACAAAAGCAGAACCACCCCAATACTATCAGTTTGGAACCTTCAAAGGTGCTGTTGATGCATGTGGGGTTGATGAAGGTGACTCTAATGTTTCATCCCACATGACCAGTGGGAGAGAAGCAATCTTACGCAGCCAGGTCCCTCATTATGATGGGTTTTGTTCACAACACAAACCTTTCGATTTCTTCCCAGGTGCGTCACTCTTCTCTTCTCTTGAGCATCTCTTTTAAATGTTTTTATCATTGTTAATTTACTAGTTTCTCTACTTTTTTAAGATGTTAAGAGCAATGGCATGATGGGCATGTTCAGCAAGACCAGATTTTGGGGAAGGCCCATTGATGAGCCCCAAATATACAGGATATCAATGCAACAGTCCGAAAGCATCACAAATTCCGCACCTCAAGTTTCAACCACTGAACGTTCATCATCAGCGGCAGCAAGCAGCTGCCCCTATGAGAACGTTCCACCACCTTTCATTGACTTTCTTGGAGTAGGAGCCATGTGAAGTCACAAATAACACCAAAGGGAGGAAAAAAGGAGAGAAGAAAAGGGACTGTAAAAGGTATTTCAGTATTTCACTTTTATGTGGAAGTGCTCCAAGATAATTGAGAGGCCATTAGAGGTAAAAATGATTTGTTTTTCAGACGGTGACAGTAGATATAGTCTCTGTATCAGTCTGTCAGAAGTCATAGCCTGATACTTTTTTTCCACAAATTCAAAACAATTTTTTAAAGTATAATATTATTAATCATAAATAAAGCATGCTATCTTTTTTCCACCTTTCTTTCATTTCATTAATGACCATAAGTGCTTCCAATGGTTTCTGAACCAGATAAGCCATGACCTGTGGAAACCCAAAGTGAGTGTTGAAATAGACATTCCAGACCAGCTTTTTGTATCACAATATTAGTTATTATATCTTTGGTAAATACCTAAGATAACAAAACTTAATGGAATAATGGCAGTGAAAAGCTATTAGAAATCAGACGGATGAAACCACATTTAAGAACACAATAAGCACATTTACAAGTATAGATTGTACTGCATGATAATTTGATAAATGAAGACTCATCAAGCCTCAAGGGGCATGATAATGATGTGACATAGAAACACAAAAGCATGAAACTTGAATTCTCAAACAAAAAGAAAAGCATGAAACTTGAAATGAAGACACCCTTTCTCTCATGGAACCTCATAAATTCATGCACGAATTATGCAGACATGATTTCTCGAATCCATTGTTTTCATGGCGGGAACTGTTGAGTATCCTTGATTCCAGTCACCTGAAGAATCTTTGCCAGGAATCAGGATTCATGCCAACTACACGGGAACATATCTATCTAAAAGCTCATTTGGAACCGACTTTAATCTAATAATCTGTTGGTCTTGAACTTGTGATTTTTATTGAATCGGAAATGACTGTCCTAAGCTTTATGAAACAGGTCAGGTTGTTTTGGATCAGGGCATTGTATGGTATTAAAACAGGCCTGCTGGTGGGCTTTTGGGTTTGATAGTGGAACCTGAAAGGTAAAATGGATGGTTTTGTCATGAAGGTAATAATACTTTGAACGCATGATTTTATGTTTGGAAGACGATTTTAGAAAATTTTAGGGACGAAAACATTTTTAATAAAAAATACATTCTATATGATAATTTTAAATCTTCAGGGGAGGCAGAGGCAACTGCTCTCACTTGCAAACGTTCCATTTGTCCCCCATTAAATCAACAATTGTCTTGGTTTCCGACAGTTTCTTAGGAAGTCAAATCCAGCAACTGAAGGATTATGTTTCCATATGAATTTACCATAATGACGCTCTTTCTCACTGTGGTGGTTCTGTGAAGCTCCTATGTCTCCAATCTCCTGTGGTTTCCCCTTTCATATTGCTTATCAAGGTTAATGCACAGGGTTAAGTCATGAATATACGCTTGATGTTGGATGTACGTACCATTGCATCAGAAATGACTTCTTTGAATTATTTGAAGGAATATTTCTGCATGATTATACTTTGTCTCTAGCAATCATGTTGCCTACGATGAATAAAGCAATTATATCTACCACTTATTAGCCGTCTTCTGCATTTCAACCCTCATCAAAAACTGTGTACGCTTTGCTGCAAAATGAACCTAGAATTTTCTTTATCAATCATATATTTACCTAGAATCCAGCTTGAAGGGCACAACAATGTCCTTGTCAGCAATATTTAACCTCCGGTGCTTCTCGTCGTACCTCCGTTTTACCCCTGAACTTCACTTGATTGATATGTTGGAGAAACATTCCACTGTCTCATTTGAACGTGTGATGTTTCTTGCTGGTTACTTTCTTATCTGTAATACAACCAATCACCCTAATGATATGGATACAGAAATTTGATTTGTGACATATTGCTAGCGTCATTTTCAGTTGGGTGACTATGCTTGACAAAAATATTTCAGCTGAAATCTCTATTATCTTTTAGTTGGATCTTCTTCCTGGCTTTTGGATTTATGAAATATCCTCTAATGGGTCCCTTAAAGAATAATAATTGATGAGGTATACTTGTTTGTATGACTTTTGATTCACTGAACCTTCTGCTACCGACCTAAACATACCAGGGGGGCGGGTTGGCATCATCCCAGAAATCCATTTACAAGTTATGGAATATATTAAAGCAAGAAAGGAGTTTCAAGTACCTCAGCTGATTAAAGAGAAAGGTGCTCCAATGTCTCTCCTTTTCTTGTTTTTCAAACATTCGGACGACATATGATGAAAACTTGTAGATAATTTTATTCCTTTCTTCGAATATGAACTATATGAGCTTGCCACTGATGAATTATAGCTCTAGGAGGGAAGATGTAGATGCTTACTGGGGAAGAACTCATGTTGGCGTGAAGATGGACCTACCACTTGTTGGTCCACCGCGTCGAACGGAATGATGATCGTAACGATCTCATCAGTGGACCATCCATTCTATGCTCACGGAATTGTATCCTAACTGATTATAAAATTGTAATCAGGCAACTGATTGGAGGATCTTCCATTGGGAAGGGGCTGAGGGCATGTATTTAAGCAATCCTAGAGAAACCTTGGACTTATCTTCTCCTTAACAAAATAACACTTGTCATCTAATCTTCCTTATCTTTGAATCCTGGAAAATGGCTTATCAATGTAGCAGATCAGCTGAATGTATGGCACTGATGTAATATGTTGAGTTTTTACATCAGGTGCTGCTTGGAAGATGTTTGATATGGTAAAACTCAAGTTGCAAATTCCAAACGGAGTGGCATATGTTTCAAGCTGTCGGTCCTAATGACAGTCTGTATGAAAGAAAACAAAAGGCCTGAGATTCTCCTATAATGGGATAAACTCACAGAATTGTGTCCATTTGGTTCAATTTCCAGGGAAGAATTTATCCTATGGGGTTACTTTCACACCCCCTGCTTATGTTGTGTTATCTATTAAGATGGCCTGAATTGTTTCACTTTTTCAAGGGTATAAGAAAAAATGGGGCCAGCTGGGTCCCAAAATGTATTATAAGATTCTTTGATTCCTTCACCCATACGAAGAACAAAAAGAATCTGCCAGTCACACCACTGACCACACCCCTCCTCCTAAGAAAAAAGGGAAATAAAAACAAAGAAGAAAAAAGACATTGCCCATTTGGTTTACCCTTTCTGTCATCTAAAGGATAATTAAGCTTTCCTGTCAATTTAGCTTCTCAAAGTGTTAGGAAAGTCATCTTACCTAATTCATGGATGTGGTGTTCCATCGGATTCGGGTCGGGTTCGGTTTTGTTTAGTTAACTCATCAAGCAGGGAGGGAGAAAACAATGTGTTTGTGTGAAGATAGAAACAAACCATGCACTTTTCCTCTTTTCTCTCCTTTTGAGACTCAAAAATTGACCTGTGTTGCTTTCTTTGCTGTTTTTGCTGCATCACAGGTTCTCTCCATCCACCCTATTCCAAGTCAAAGAAGAAAAGTCGATATGAAATGGGAGATGATACAAGGAAGAGGTCATGGCATATATTCCCTTCCCTATACAGCCCCACCTATGTTTCCAGATATGGAGTGAGATCATAGGACAGCCCAACAACTCACAAGATTTATAAAGAGAACTACAGCTGCTTCATATTGAAATCATAGCCTTCTTACAAAAAGAAAAAGAAGGGATCAAAGTTCACATGAGTTTCAGTTTTCTGCATCCCTCTGCCTGTCTCTCTTACACAACACAAAACATGGAGGGTCTGCAAAATATGCAAAATCATGACATGAACTTGGTTCTGTCAACTGATGCAAAGCCTAGGCTGAAGTGGACTCCTGAACTCCATCAAAGATTTGTTGATGCTGTCAATCAACTGGGAGAGCCAGACAGTTAAGTTTAATACTTTCAGATAACCTTAATCATAATCATCATCATCATTTTGTCTAATCATACTGATACTTTTAGGGGTAAAATTTTCTTATGTTTATTATTTCTGGACAGAAGCAACCCCAAAGAATCTGATGAGGGTCATAGGAATTTCTGGACTCACTTTGTACCATCTCAAAAGCCATTTACAGTTGATTTCTCTTCATTACACAACCATACCATCATCTCAAACAAATCAAGGTTTGACTGTATTTTCTTCTTGCAAAAATACAGGCTGGCAAAAAGCCAACAGACAGAAATCTGCCTTAGCAATAAACTAGATTGTGAGATTAAGAATTCATTGCTTGCTGCATTTAGGTTATTGTATTGACTCTCACAACAATATGATCTTTTTTCTTCTTTTCACTGTGATGTAAATTGCACTGAGGTACAGAGCAGTAATGGGAATTTGGGTAGTGACACAAGTGATGGAACACACAAGGGATGAGTAATGGTTTTTTTTTTACATAGATCCTTTATATTTTGATAAATTTTGGATTTGGAAAAGATAATTAGACAGATTGTATTGACTGTGTAATTATATTGGTCATCAGAAGCTTGCGGATTGCTCAGGCTTTCCAAATGCAGATGGAAGTACAGAGAATGCTTCATGAACAGATTGAGGAATGGCCTATTGAACCAAATCCCAAATAGCTGATTTTCAGTCCACGCATCGACTCGTATAAATCAGGCTATTTTTCTATTCAAGTCCAGAGACATTTACAGCTATACAATTCAGAAAATATAAATTGAAAAGAATATTGTTTGAATAGTCTATATTTCTTTAATCCACCGACCACCAGTTATCAAGTGTAATCATAGTAATCTGTTGCACTTATTGTGTGTTTTTCAAAAGATGTTGGGGGTATTAATATTATGATTAAGCCTGCCTTTCTTCCATTTGATATTGGAATGAAAAGCAAAGCTTGAAGGAGAAGAAATCATCATAGCAGCAGAATCATTTTGTCAGTTTCTAACAAGAAGAGCAAATCATTAGCTATACCATTCTTATGGTGCTAAGTGCTGACCAACTTCAATCATTTTACGTTGCTGCGCCTGCGAGGCTCGGATAATTAAAGAGTCCCACATGGATTATATATAAAGTGTTTAACAGTCTTTCTCAAGCCAGAGCTCAACAATGGAAGCATTGAATATAAAAATGGGAAAAAGAATTCGCCATGACAGGCTTCTCAAAGCATTTATCTTCTTCTTTGTTGACCTGTCTTTATGTTCTCCCTCAATAACTCAAGGTAGTGGTGTTTCTTTTATTACCGAAAATTTCATTTGCAAGGCCTTGAGTATTCGTTATTATGATCCTAATAACATTCTTCATCGTAGGGGAACTTCCATTCATGACTTCTGATGTGAAAGAAGTCGCAGGCAAATCCTTTGATTACATTGTTGTAGGTGGAGGAACTGCTGGCTGTCCCCTGGCAGCGACCCTTTCCGAGAAATTCTCGGTGCTATTGATAGAACGAGGCGGATCGCCTTACGGCAATCCCTTGGTGATGGAGAAGAGATTTTATGGTTACTCTTTGATTCAAACAGATGAGTTTTCATCAGTAGCACAAGACTTCACATCCACTGATGGTGTTAGGAACAGCAGAGGACGAGTACTTGGTGGATCTTCGGCTATAAACGGAGGGTTCTATAGTCGAGCCAGCGAGGACTTTATTGACAAGGCTGGCTGGGATAAGGAATCGGTTAAGGACGCTTATACATGGGTGGAATCCAAAATAGTCTCTAAACCTGAATTGACACCATGGCAGACTGTTGTGGAATTTGGCCTTGTTGAAGCTGGATTTCTACCTTACAATGGCTATAGTTTAGAACATGTTGAGGGAACAAAGATTGGTGGAAGCATATTCGATGTTTGGGGCATCCGACATACCTCGGCCGATCTTCTGAAGGCTGCGAATCCCAAAAATGTCGTAGTTCTTTTGAATATGACGGTAAAAAACATCGTCTTCAAGAGCAATGGTAAGGAAAATTAAATGAAAGTTATAGCTCAAACCTCTAAGCATAGATATTCAGAGATGATCTCTCACAGTTTTGAAATATCTGCAGGCAATGCATCTGAGACAACAGTGAAGGGCGTAAGGTTCATAAAGAGCGATGGCAGCAGGGATCAAACATATAAGGCCTATCTAAATCAACCCAAGAATTGTACATCAAAGCGTGGCGATGTGATTTTGTCAGCCGGGGCATTAAGCAGTCCACAAATTCTGTTATTAAGTGGCGTTGGCCACCGTAAACAAATCGAGAATTTCGACATCCCACATGTGAAAAACTTGAAAGGAATAGGCAAAAAAATGAAAGACAATCCTAGTATTGCTGTTTTGGTGGACACAAATCCACAAAGTCGACAACCAGAGCCTCCTCAAGTTTCGGGGATTGCGAAGGACTTCAAGTTCATAATCGAAGGAGGGGTTATACCTACGAGCTTCAATGCGACGAGAATGCCGATAGCTGCCAAGATTGCGTTTCCAGTATCGGAAGGTGAACTTAAATTAAGCAGTAGTGACCCAAGGCAAACCCCTGCAGTGAAATTCAACTACCTAGATGATGAAAAGGACTTGGACGCTTGTGCAGATATGGTGCATTTGCTTGAACGAGTGGCCAGGTCCCATTCAGTTGCTTTTTACCTTGGTGCTAAACCCCAGAATAACTTGATGACTAGCACTGATGAGCAAAGGAAATTCTGCAAAGAGAATGTGCGGACGTACTTCCACTACCATGGAGGGTGCACGGTTGGATCGGTTGTGGACAATGATTATAAGGTTTATGGAGTTAAAGGGTTGAGAGTTGTGGATGGCTCGACGTTCCGGGAATCACCGGGAACAAATCCGATGGCTACTCTGATGATGCTGGGGAGATACCAGGGGCTCAAAATCTTGAGAGAAAGGGAGCACGTTTCTTCTTTAAGTACTCAACAAAACCCTTAACAACATCACATTTGTATGCTGACAGCAAATGCATATAACTACTTATATATGTTTTTCTTTTCGCAAATGTTTTTAGCAGCAAGCAAGAGAGTAACATTCCATTAATAGGCATCTTAAACTGGTTGGTATAAATTCTGTTTGAGTTTTTCTTCAGAGGTTAACTTGTGATCTTCTTTGGAGGATAATCCCCATCTTGTTTCTCGATTGCTGTTTGAATTCCTCTTCGAATGTTAACTCGAGATCCTCTTCGAAGATTACATCTACATCATGTTTCCTGATTTTAATTGAGTTTCACTTTAGAAATTAACTCGAGTTCCTCTTTAGAGGGTAACGTCCCCATCCCGTTTCTGTTCTAGGTTCATCTTTGGATGTCTCAAGTTCCTCTTCAAAAGGAAATATTTTTATCATGTTATTCTAGAATTAAAGTAAGGTTGTGAACATCTATTTCGATATTCTGATGGTAAAATATTTGTTTTTAATATTGTCATATTAATGTGTTGTTTATTACATCATGATTGAATTATTTATATTTTAATATTATTACATGTTTACACTTAAGGACACATTATGCTTTATAGCTCACACGGTCTCTATTTTACATTTTCATATTATTTAGATGTAGTCATGTATGTAGGGTCGGTTTGGCTATCAGAGATGTAGTATCTATTTGATATTGTATGATGTTAATATTTATTTTCAACATCTTTTAACTGTGGAATAAGTTTGTTTCGGATGTCATAATAAATATTTTCAAAAATGATTTATAAAACAAACTTTGTTCGCATATCATTTTCGTTATCTTTTATTATAATTTAGTTGTATCTTGTAGGCTGATGTTACCTAAATAATATATATATATATATATATATATATTATTTTTTCGATACATCTATTTATTATGGACTATATTAGGTTAGAGTTTCATAAAAAAAATTCCAATATAAATTTTGTGTCATCAAAATTCTGATTTTTTTGCTATTTTTATTCGTAAGTGTATATTTTAATTTCATAAAAAGGAGAAAAAATTTATGATGCATCCCTAATTTTGTCAACATTATGATCATTGTGAGTGGTATGATTATAATTTTAAAAAATAAAAGAACTTTTTACATGAAATTATATTAAATAAAAACAATAATAATTATTTCATAATAATCACTCAAACCATCGTGAAAACCCTTAATGCTTCGATTTGAGTTGTTTCGATTAAGGTATATTAGGTATTTAGTACGTAAATTATCAGTTTTGATTCATTCTATTACCTAAATTTTTTTTTAAATTATACCAATATTTAGTTTTTGTTTTATTTTAGTAATCACCATTAAAAAATTAACACGGTTAATACTTAAACTATTAGTTTAACCCATTTTAATACCTAAACTTAAAAAAAATCAAAACTTAGTCTTAAATTTTGAACATGTACTAAAATAAATAAAAACCAAACCTTAAATGTGATTTTGAAAAAAATTAAAAGTTTGAAAACAAAAATTAAATGTATAATTTACCCTTTCGATTATTGGCGGACCAGTTCCAATATTCCCAAACATTGTGCTTGCAGGGTATCTCCTTTTGCCAGCTCATCAGGTTTTGACTCAGAGTACCAAGATATTATTCATACGTCTTTTATGGTATCAGTGAATTATATTCAGCTCATAAGGTTTTAACTCTTTATTTACACGTAAGAAATAGGTGAAGATTCACCTTGTAAAAATGAAATGAAAAAATATTATTAGCTAGGACCACAGATGACGTGGCGAGCTGGATCTATCTAATAATTTTTCAGCTAGCAAGGAGATGCTCAAGCCTTATTCACGCGGTGAAAAAAAATAGTATGTTTCGAGTGTTGGAACAAGTGGTTGAGAATCAGGAATTTGAACTTACAAGGTTAAGTTCAAATCTACCATCTGTAAATTTAATTGAGTCTTAGGTACGTCCTGACCTAAATCTTACTGTAAAAAAATGTTTTGATATCAATTAACTTAATTAAAAGTTGGTTTATATATTTATTGTTAAACTATGATCATTTTGAATTTATCCTCATTAAGTCCTTAATCAATCGCATCTGCAATTGCTTTAATGTTCTTGGAATAAAATAATTCAAATTAAGGTTAACAAGGGTTTATTTTTTTAAAACAAAACAGATTTTCAATATATTTAAATATTAATTTTCAAATGAAATTTTAATATAGATAACAATTAAATTAGGTACAACAGAAATATAGAGATTTATATAAATTACACGGTTGTTCTAATAATTAGCTTACCCTTATTCCTATATGTAATGGGGTAAGGGGAGGTAAGATAGTAGGCTGCACTCAACGCCAGGTTGAGAGCAGCTTCCGTGGGAGACCTCCAAATTATAAAATGCCCTATGTAGGACTCAATCCCACGACCTCAAAGTTAAGAACCATGTAAACCGTGGCATGTAAACCATGGCATTGCCAACTTGTTTAGGTTTGAAGTGGACCATATCATATGGCATTTATATAATTACCATAATTTGAGTTCATGAAAATGACATGTAAACCATGGCATTGCCAACTTGTTTAGGTTTGAAGTGGACCATATCATATGGCATTTATATAATTACCAAACCTTAATATATTAAAAACTATAAATATATAAACATAAATAAGTTGTTAGAGGAAAAAGTCCGTACTTTTATGTTTTATTTAAGGGTAGATTACGTGTTTAGTATATAAATTATCAATTTTGATCTATTTTAATACTACATTTTTTAATTTTTTTCAAAATTATATCTAACGTTTAGTTTTCGTTTCATTTTATTACCCGTCGGTTAAAATTTAACGGAAAAACTGACGTGGCATATTTAATTATTTTTTATTTTAAACTATATTTTAAATTATTATTTAAAATATTCATCTCTCTCTCTTTACCTGAAATCAGTGAAAAGCTACGTTGGTTGGCCGTCGTTTCATGTTTATAGTCGTCGGTTACCATTGGCCGTCCTGTTTACAGTCATCGACCGCCACATCTATCGACCAATGAAGTCCAAACTTTTTCATCATATCCCTTTTCGAATTCTTGAATACGATTTTGACTTTCGTTTCACCGGAAAACGCCTCAATCTCATTAAATTTACAGTAAATTATTCAATTTTTTCATCCTACGATCTCTATTCTCAATCTTCTAATGAGCTTGAAACTGAACTATATTGTTTTACTCGTCGTGGTCCACCATTCGGAGGTCTGACCACCAAAACTATCATAGTCGATAACCTGAAAGATAAAATTCTTCACCTTTTTGTTTTATTTTCTTTTCCTTTGTTTTGATGATTCACAGCAAAAAAGAAGGGAAACGTCGAAACAAAAGCCCACCAAAGCACCAGCCACCGACGATCCACCGCACCTGCAACCGAGCTCCGTTCCAAGGTTCATGGTACACTAGCATAGTCATCAAGCGTACTCTTAACAAATCCAACAACTTGGGTTGGTTTATGGTTTTAGTTTGATTAGCTAAATAAAATTAATTAAATAATAATAAATAATAATTTAAAAGTTAAAAAAATTCTTCAATTTTATAGTTAAATTTTTAACGACCGATACTAAAATTAAATAAAAATTAAACATTAAATGTGATTTTGAAAGAGAATGAAAATTTAGATACTAAAATTAAACATAAATGATAGTTTAGGTACTAAATGCATAGTTTACCCTTTATTATTAGGTAGAACATTGTTTTAAATTTTTTTTAATCATTGGTGTATTGAAATTGTTTAATTGAATTATAACTCCTAATAATATCCTGTTCTGGAACTTTTATTATTGGGGAAAAAGAGTAAACTATGTATTTAGTGACTCGAGTGTTTGAATGATTTATTTTGGTCATCAATCTATTTTTTAAAATTATCCTAATGTTGCATCTTAATTTAATTTTGTTCACTCGCCTGTTAACCTTTTAACGTGGATGACCAAAATTAAACCAAAACGTAACGTTATGCATAATTTAAAAATAAATTAGTGACCAAAATAGAATTGTATGAATATTTGGGTGATTAAATACATAGTTTATGCAGAAATAATGATCTTAATTATTATAATATATGGAGTAACCTGAGTTAAAGGATAAGAGGGGAGCAGGTGAGCAGTTTCAATGCTGAGCCTGAGACAATGACGGAAGCAAAAGAAGGGGTCAGGGATTGAGTAACGCGCAAGGGCCATTCCGAAATTCCAAAAATACCCTTGGAGCCGTTAAGTTTAAACCTACAAAACCTCTAGTCGTTGGGGAAAAAAGGAAGCGTCGGCAGCAAAACAAATATTATTTAGAAATTATCTCTCCGATTTATTCGTTCCCTTCATTCATCCAGCATAAATTCCCCCATTTTCCCAGCAACAGGTGAATTTTGTAAAGATTTTTTTTCCACCTCATTTCTCCTCCGAACCTCCGATTCGCTGCTCTTACTCAGCGCGATTCCGGGGTTTATTTTATTGTTTTTTATTTTTATTTTTTTGGATCGGATCGGATTGGATTAACTTGTAAAAATTGAAGGCATTTTGTAGAGTTTGTAGAAATTATGAGCGATCACCTGGTGTTGTATGTGGATCGTCTGGTGAGGCCGGTGCCATTACAGCCGGTGGAGTCGGAGGCTGCTCCCTCAACGGAGATTTCGAATACGTCGTGTTCCGCCAAAGAGAAGGATATCGTCCGAGGAGGCGAGGAGGAGGAGCCGCTCATTCAAGCGGCGGAGTGCCGCATTTGCCAGGAGGAAGATTCCATCGAGAATCTTGAGACTCCTTGTGCCTGCTGCGGCAGCCTCAAGGTAATTTCTTTTGTCTATTTATTGTTATTGTTGTTGCTGCTGTTGTTATTTTGTGTTCATTATAAAAGTTCGATTAAGAAGTTTTTTATTATTAAGCGTTTAAATTATACCTCAAATTGATTTTTGATATGTAATGATTTCTCCGTATACTTTAGGTATATACACTTTTGAGGGTGGTTAAAAGTGTAACTGAAAAAATAGCAGGCACCTATTTGAGGTATAATTTAGGCGCCTCAGAAAAATTCTTTAGACACCAAAAGTTAAATTTGAGGTATAGTTTAGGCCCCTAAAAGTGTATTAAGCTTCATTATTATTATTACTTTACCTTCTTAGAATA